CCAAAGGAATTTGTTGACTTACTGCGGGGAACATGGGCCACAGGAATAAGAGCCTCGTTGGACGTAGAATCACTGTTTACCAATGTACCTGTGGATGAAACAATCGGGATGATAGCGGACAGAGTGTATTGTGATCCTGCCTGTACTCCTCTTGACATACCAGAAAACATTCTAAGGAAACTACTCCAAGCTTGTACTAAAGAGGCACCCTTCTTGAGCCCGGATGGGTACATGTATAAGCAACTAGATGGGGTCGCCATGGGTTCTCCCCTAGGTGTCCTGTTTGCAAACTTCTACATGGGTACCATCGAGCAAAAAGTCTTAGTCGACATGAACTTGAAACCGGCCATATACTGCAGGTATGTTGACAACATTTTTACGCAGGTACCTGATATAAGACATCTGCAGGAGCTGAAAGAGGCATTTGAGCGGAATTCTGTGTTGCGTTTCACTTACGAGATGAAGAACGATGGGAAGCTGCCCTTTCTAGATGTAACAGTCAAGGAAAGGAGCGGAGGTTTCCACACTGCAGTCTACACTAAGGAAACAAACATAGGAATGTGCCTCAATGCCAACAGTGACTGCCCAGATAGGTACAAGAGGAGTGTTGTTAACGCTTATGTCGACCGTGCTCTCAGCCACAGCTCAGGATGGAAGCAAGTCGATGAAGAACTCTGTAGGGTAAGGCAGGTCCTAGTCAACAACGACTTCTCCAATGGTTTCGTTGAAGACATCATAAGAAGGAAGGTGAAACGCTATGCAACCTCTGAAGAGACAACTAACACAACACCTGTACCCCCTATAAGACTATTTTACAGGAACTTCTTTTCCACAGCTCATAAAACGGAGGAAAGGGTCCTGAAAGATATTGTTAATAGAAACGTTATCCCTACAGACAAAAATCAGAAGGTACAATTGACGATTTACTATAAAACCAAGAAAACGGCCAACCTACTCATGAGAAACTCTCCAGACACAAAGCAGAACGCTTTAAAAGAGACCAATGTCGTCTATGCCTTCAAATGCCCTCTTGGGGATTGTAAGCCTCAAAAAACTCAGTATATAGGCAAGACAACAACATCTCTTTCCAGGCGTTTAACGATGCATAAGCAACAGGGCTCCATTAAGGAACATATAGAATCTTCCCACAACCAAACCATCACCAGAGAAATCTTAGCAAACAACACAGAAATCATCGATAGATACAGCGATAGCAGGCGGCTCGACGTCTGCGAGGCACTACACATCAAGAAGTCAACACCAGCAATCAACTGCCAATTAATGCACAACTATATTCTACCCACTTCAAGACTCCGCTCCAATATAGAAGCATCAAGAAATATGGGCCAATAAAAATGGGCCTTCTGCAGTTACCTACTTTTAATACCTGTTTCATGTTCTGTCTTGTGTTAAAAGTTTATTTTCACCTCATCCAAAACTATTGTAACATGTCACTTCACCCAAATGTAGGTATAAAAACTCGAAAGATGTTTAAGCTCTATTCAGTTAAAGTTGTGTGTGTTTGTGTAAACTAAAGTCTTTGAAAATATAATAAGTTTTACGAAACGCGCTCAAGTGTCGCGTCAAACTAGAAATAAAAATTAATTTTGGAGAATTGATCTTTGAATTACCATCAACAGTGAAAAGAAACGTAAGAAATATCGAGAAAATTCGTGTTAGAATTATTAATCTTACTTTTTCGGTCATATTTAATAATATATGTCTACAGGAAAGACTGCTACCAAAAATATATATATATATATATATATATATATATATATATATATATATATATATATATATATATATATATATATATATATATATATATATATATATATATATATATATATATATATATATATATATATATATATATATATATATATATATATGCAATTGACGATCACGAAACACTGATCATTTGTATGCGGAAATTCCACAATGAAATTGGAAAAGAAGATGAACGTTTCGGCCGTTTTACAGCCGTTGTCAACACGAGACTGACTAGAAGAAACAACGGGAGGGTTCAGGTCAACAGCTGAATATGACCACATATCCCCAGGCAAAGAATTACCCAGAAGCAGGTATAGATTTGGCTTAGAATAATAGGATTAAGTGGTCAAAGAATAAGGATGAAAGATTAAAGCCTCAATGAACATACAATATATGAATATAATATTGAAATGAGACATAGTAACCCTATCAGAGTTTTTTCTTAAACTCTTGTGCAATATTGTATTATTATTGTTGTGCAATAAACTGGTGATCTATATTGATCCATTTTTAAGTTACAATTTACTACAAAAACAAGCAGACCATCAACCTACTCAAGAAGAACTCTCTAGACACCAAATAGAACGCCTTAATAGAGACCAACGTCGTCTATGCCTTCACATGCCCACTTGGAGATTGTCAGCTCCAAAGGTCTCAGTATACAGGCAAGACAACAAGATCTCTCTCTAGGCGTTTAACGATGCATAAGCAACAGGGCTCCATTAAGGAACATATAATCTCCACTCACAACCAGACCATCACCAGAGACATGTTAACAAGCAACACTGAAATAATCGACACATACAACGACAACAGGAGCCGAGCGGACAGCACGCTGGTCACGTGAGCCTGTGGTCCCGTGTTCGATCCCGGGCGCCGGCTAGAAGCAATGGGCAGAGTTTCTTTCACCCTATGCTCCTGTTAATGAGCAGTAAAAATAGGTTACCTGGGAGTTAGTCAGTTGTCACGGGCTGCTTCCTAGGGGTGGAGGCCTGGTCGAGGACCGGGCCGCGGGGACACTAAAGCCCCGAAATCATCTCAAGAAAACCCCAAGATAACAGAAGACTGGAGATCAGCGAGGCCCTACACATCAAAACAGTCAACGCCAGTAATTAACAACCAGTTAACACATAATTACTTTCTACCCCACCTCAAGACTCTGAACCATCACAGTCAGAGGTGCAGCACACTGTTCCTGTTACAGTCGGATTGACCTACACCACACTGACTGTTACAGTCAGTATGGTGTAGTGGGTAAAGTACTAGATATGCGAAGGAGTATGGAGCGCCTATCCGTCTGGGTATATGTGTGTATATATATATATGTCGTACCTAGTAGCCAGAACTCACTTCTCAGCCTACTATTCAAGGCCCGATTTGCCTAATAAGCCAAGTTTTCCTGAATTAATATATTTACTATAATTTTTTTCTTATGAAATGATAAAGCAACCCTTTTCTCTATGTATGAGGTCAATTTTTTTTTATTGGAGTTAAAATTAACGTAGATATATGACCGAACCTAACCAACCCTACCTAACCTAACCTAACCTATATTTATAGGTAAGGTTAGGTTAGGTAGCCAAAAAAAGCTAGGTTAGGTTAGGTTAGGTAGGTTAGGTAGACGAAAAAACATTAATTCTGGAAAACTTGGCTTATTAGGCAAATCGGGCCTTGAATAGTAGGCTGAGAAGTGCGTTCTGGCTATTAGGTACGACATATATATATACACACGGGATGCGGGAGCAGGCCCAGGCCGGGCTGCGGGAGCAGGCCCAGGCCGGGCTGCGGGAGCAGGCCCAGGCCAGGCTGCGGGAGCAGGCTGACTCTAAAGTGGTCACGAGATGACTATTCTTATAGCACTCAAAATTAGTGAAAACATTACAGTAGACAGCTGACTCATCGCCGACTCCCTCTCCTTATTACCGACATTAAATAGCTTACAACGCAATCGTAACGCGTTCGTGTACGAAGGCAGGTATAGATATACTCGCCTGCTGACCCAGGGAGCACAAGTTAGGCTACTAAGGATCCCTCTCACATTGGGCTGCACGGATGATAATGTTGCCGCTCTTGCAAAGCTTGCAGTAAATAAAGATAATATTGAACACAATCCTGGGCCATTCAATAGAACTCTTGTCTCATCAGACGAGTACTATCAGTTGAACTTGAAGCAAGTAAAAGAGTGCCAACGGGAACTAGCAGACCCTTTTTTATCGCAGAGAAATGTGTTAAACAAAACATTTGCATGGAGCAAGCAAGAGCGTGAGCAGACTGACAGATGTTGTCACACCTCGAGTACAACTTGGCCACAAGCACACTTGACAGTTCGGCTTGTTTGGCCAGCTTGATGAAATCAAGTGTGTTTACAAAGACCGGGACGCACACTACACCACTACATTTTACACTCTAAATAAAATTTAGCCATTTAGAGATCAAACTAAATTTGAGTTGCATGAAATGGCCAATCACTTTATTGTAACTGGTAAAGTGTCTGAAATGCACTGTATCCATATTTCGCTTTTAATAAATAAATGCCACCCGAGTGTTGAATGTTGAGGCATAAACCATTAACAACATCTCCGCTATTATCCCGTTAAGACCAATGTTGGGTACTGTGTTATCGTCAACAAAGAGTCCTGCCTCTAATGTATAATATTTTATATCTAATACATAAAGTTTCAGTGACAGAAATTTGCTACTAGCTGTCATTGTAATTACAAGGTGTGGAGATTGATTGGAATTATTGATGTAAAAATTCTAAGGTCTGAATAAGACTTTTTGGGTAATGACAATAGGGAGCATAGTGCCGTCGGCGGCGACAACAGTGATCACAAGTAAATCACAGACTATGGTGGGTCTCGCTGGTCATCCTGGCACACGTCATGGGATCCAAGACCCCAAGTATTGAACCTGGACCAGCAGAGAACCGCTGGCAAGGTACTCCTCTTGGAAAGTATAAAACAATCTAACTATAATTTTATAGACCAAATAGTTGAATACAATCCTGTTATTTTCGGTTCACAGGCAATCACAAAAGACGAATAAAGAAGCAAGACACAGGGAATAACACAGACAATAACATATAAACAAGACAAAATGAAATAATGAAAGTGAAGCTGAAGGTAAACATCTTTGGTTACGCTCGGTCAACACCGGACTCGCGACACCTTCTCAGTGCCCCGCGCTCCCACACACACCCGCTCTCACACACACACACAACTCACAGAGACTATGGGGTCTTCCTGCCCAGGCGGTGTCTGCTGCACCACTGCCGCTCCACCAGCCCACAAAGACCGCCTCAACTCTGTCGCCTGCCTTTCGTTGCCAGGCTTAGCAGCCAGGAGCTAGTGTGAACTGGATTGCCTCACCTGCACTCTGGCTCATCAACACATTTATAGTGGATCCACATGAACAAAAACGCTATACCTGTTGATAAATGTAAGTAGATCTACTTTAGACTACGCTGCTATTGAGTCCACATTACGTATATTTTGATACGTGTTATTGGTGAAATAATTGTGGGCATCAGCTTGTACATCATGACAAAGGCGTCACTCTGGGAAAAAGTTAATAATCAGGGTCACTCGGGGTTTACCAAGCTCCTCCATCCGTGATAGAACACCGAACATCAACTGGTGGAAGAACACCACCACCCAGCGACCAGTGGGAGAACACCACCACCCAGCGACCAGTGGGAGAACACCACCACCCAGCGACCAGTGGGAGAACACCACCACCCAGCGACCAGTGGAAGAACACCACCACCAAGCGACCAGTGGAAGAACACCACCACCAAGCGGCCAGTGGAAGAACACCACCACCCAGCGACCAGTGGGAGAACACCACCACCCAGCGACCAGTGGAAGAACACCACCACCAAGCGACCAGTGGAAGAACACCACCACCCAGCGACCAGTGGGAGAACACCACCACCCAGCGACCAGTGGAAGAACACCACCACCCAGCGACCAGTGGAAGAACACCACCACCCAGCGACCAGTGGAAGAACACCACCACCCAGCGACCAGAACACCACCACCCAGCGACCAGTGGAAGAACACCACCACCCAGCGACCAGTGGGAGAACACCACCACCCAGCGACCAGAACACCACCACCCAGCAACCAGAATACCACCACCCAGCAACCAGAATACCACCACCCAGCAACCAGAATACCACCACCCAGCAACCGGAATACCACCACCCAGCAACCAGAATACCACCACCCAGCAACCAGAATACCACCACCCAGCAACCGGAACGCCACCACCCAGCAACCAGAATACCACCACCCAGCAACCAGAATACCACCACCCAGCAACCAGAATACCACCACCCAGCAACCAGAACACCACCACCCAGCAACCGGAACGCCACCACCCAGCAACCAGAACACCACCACCCAGCAACCAGAACGCCACCACCCAGCAACCAGAACACCACAACCCAGCAACCAGAGGAAGGGCACCACCGTCCAGCGACCAGAGGAAGGACACCACCGCCCAGCGACCAGAGGAAGGACACCACCGTCCAGCGACCAGAGGAAGGGCACCACCGTCCAGCGACCAGAGGAAGGACACCACCGTCCAGCGACCAGAGGAAGGGCACCACCGTCCAGCGACCAGAGGAAGGACACCACCGCCCAGCGACCAGAGGAAGGGCACCACCGTCCAGCGACCAGAGGAAGGACACCACCGCCCAGCGACCAGAGGAAGGACACCACCGTCCAGCGACCAGAGGAAGGGCACCACCGTCCAGCGACCAGAGGAAGGACACCACCGTCCAGCGACCAGAGGAAGGACACCACCGCCCAGCAACCAGAGGAAGGACACCACCGCCCAGCGACCAGAGGAAGGGCACCACCGCCCAGCGACCAGAGGAAGGGCACCAACACCATATGGGACTGTGCTAAATATATATATTTTTTTTTCAGTGATATTCCTGCGCGGGCCCTAAGCCTCTGGCTGGCCCACTAAGTGTTGCTTGTTTCTGTTTTACTTGGGCGGAGTATGAGTATTTATGACTCGTATGGTCGCTTCAGTAAGATTTTGTCTAATGTGTTAACAACTTCTTCTTCTCTCTTGAATCTAAGTTGAAATCTTATGTGGTTTGTAACTGTGCACTGTGTTAGATAATGTTCCAGTGGTCTGTCGGGCATTTCTCCACAGTGCTGACATTTCCTCTCATCTTCTGGAACATGTTTCCCATGCACATGGGTATCCAAGCCTGATGCGATGTACGTGTACTTCTGTTGTTCTACTGCCCCCTTTCATCAAACTAAGTGGTTCGTAGTTGGTTGAATTCTTGTACCAACCCGCAGATCCTGATGTTGCAACTGCTGTGTTGTGGTCACTGTACATCTTTTGCATTGCTCTGTTCCAAATTACTTTCTTAATCTGTGATAGACTCTGTGGTTTGTAAATGTCTACATTTCTTCTCTTAGTTGCAATTTTGCAGCTTCGTCTGCAATGTCATTTCCTATTATTCCCTCATGACTTGGCACCCAGTTGATAAATCCCCGTCGGCCTAGTCGTTTGAGTGTTTGCATTAATGATATGACATTTGTAATCAGATGGATGTTATCACGTATGTGTTTTTGTTGCAAGGTTTCAATGGCGGTTCTCGAATTTGTATGTAAAATAACATGTTGTCGGTGTTCAGCAAGAGCATGTTCCAAACCTTTTGAATGGCTAGCATCTGTTATTGTGTTGATGACTGGGTCAACGCCATATGGGACTGTGTTAATGGCTGCATCAAAACCATATGGGACTGTGTTAATGGCTGCATCAAAACCATATGGGACTGTGTTGATGACTGTCTCAACACCATATGGGACTGTGTTAATAACGTCTATAACACCACCTAGAAAACGTGTTGATGAGCTCTGTAACTCGATTTAATTTTTTTTATATTTTGCTCCGAGGGGCGAGTTTATTGGGCAGCGCCACTCATCCTGTGAGTTGACACACCGCCATAGTGACAGTATTGGGCAGCGCCACTCATCCTGTGAGTTGACACACCGCCATAGTGACAGTATTGGGCAGCGCCACTCATCCTGTGAGTGGACACACCGCCATAGTGACAGTATTGGGCAGCGCCACTCATCCTGTGAGTGGACACACCGCCATAGTGACAGTATTGGGCAGCGGCACTCATCCTGTGAGTGGACACACCGCCATAGTGACAGTATTGGGCAGCGCCACTCATCCTGTGAGTGGACACACCGCCATAGTGACAGTATTGGGCAGCACCACTCATCCTGTGAGTGGACACACCGCCATAGTGACAGTATTGGGCAGCGCCACTCATCCTGTGAGTGGTCACACCGCCATAGTGACAGTATTGGGCAGCGCCACTCATCCTGTGAGTGGACACACCGCCATAGTGACAGTATTGGGCAGCGCCACTCATCCTGTGAGTGGACACACCGCCATAGTGACAGTATTGGGCAGCGCCACTCATCCTGTGAGTGGACACACCGCCATAGTGACAGTATTGGGCAGCGCCACTCATCCTGTGAGTGGACACACCGCCATAGTGACAGTATTGGGCAGCGCCACTCATCCTGTGAGTGGACACACCGCCATAGTGACAGTATTGGGCAGCGCCACTCATCCTGTGAGTGGACACACCGCCATAGTGACAGTATTGGGCAGCGCCACTCATCCTGTGAGTGGACACACCGCCATAGTGACAGTATTGGGCAGCGCCACTCATCCTGTGAGTGGTCACACCGCCATAGTGACAGTATTGGGCAGCGCCACTCATCTTGTGAGTGGACACACCGCCATAGTGACAGTATTGGGCAGCGCCACTCATCCTGTGAGTGGACACACCGCCATAGTGACAGTATTGGGCAGCGCCACTCATCCTGTGAGTGGACACACCGCCATAGTGACAGTATTGGGCAGCGCCACTCATCCTGTGAGTGGACACACCGCCATAGTGACAGTATTGGGCAGCGCCACTCATCCTGTGAGTGGACACACCGCCATAGTGACAGTATTGGGCAGCGCCACTCATCCTGTGAGTGGTCACACCGCCATAGTGACAGTATTGGGCAGCACCACTCATCCTGTGAGTGGACACACCGCCATAGTGACAGTATTGGGCAGCACCACTCATCCTGTGAGTGGACACACCGCCATAGTGACAGTATTGGGCAGCACCACTCATCCTGTGAGTGGACACACCGCCATAGTGACAGTATTGGGCAGCACCACTCATCCTGTGAGTGGACACACCGCCATAGTGACAGTATTGGGCAGCACCACTCATCCTGTGAGTGGACACACCGCCATAGTGACAGTATTGGGCAGCACCACTCATCTTGTGAGTGGACACACCGCAATAACAGCATGTACAACACTCCCCAATAGGAAGAGAACCCACAAGTTTATTTATTTTATTTTAATTATTTATTTATTTATTTATTTATTTATTTATTTATTTATTTATTTATTTATTTATTTACTTATGTATTTATTTATTTATATACCAGAAGGTACATAGTAATGAAGATTTTACATTCTTGTAAAGCCACTAGCACGTATAGTGTTTCCGGCAGGTCCTTTATCTAACAGATAATTTAAGTAGATAATTTCCAGCAACAATTTACAAATAATGTTTACAGGTTCATTGTAAAACATTTTGACACACTACAAAAAGATTAGATTAATACACAATAATGACAAAACATTATAATGACAAAGATTAGTAGGTACATTAGGGTAAAATTTGAAGTTTATCAACTGGTTCATTGTAGCACAATTTGAGGATCATTTCAAGGAATAATGCAGTAAAATATGTACTCAATATAACAATGATATCACCTGATATCAACGATTACAATGGTAAAGTTATATGGCTTAGGTTCATATATTGGGAGATTGGGTGGCACTAGATACAGTGCGAGTTTAAGCTCAAGGCAGGAAACTATGAAGATGAAATTAGGTACTTTTTGTTTTTGTTTTTGAATAAGGCAAAAGTTGGGCAGCTTTTCAATTCGTTAGGGAGTGAGTGCCATAGTCTAGGTTCCTTTATTTGCATAGAGTGTTTACACAGATTAAGTTTGACTCTGGGGATATCAAAGAGATATTTAGGGTTTGGTGATTGTGGGTTCTATTACATCTGTACAGGGCGAGTTTCAGAGCAGGGTTCGCATTAAAAAAACAGGGTTTTGTAAATGTAGATGGCACAAGTGAACAGCTTCTCAAACAAAAAGATTAACATTCATCTTCCCTTAAAAATCTTACGTTATCTTGCGGGTGCAAAATGGGGAAATTTTTGAATAACAGTATCTATATTTGACAAATAGAGTTTTCCAAACTCAAACAATGTGGGGTT